GCTGCAATGGCGGATAAAGAAAAAAGAAAAAGTGTTCTAAGTGTAACAGCTCACCAACCGTTGACAACATTAAATTATTTAGGTTTCCGAAACACGCAGTAAAGTATATTTTGCGGTACGTATCCAATATATCTTAGATCCATACACTATTTAGTAAGTTCTAATCTTAAAGTAAATCTGTTGTCCAATTTATAATGAAAGATTGTTTCTCTTTAACCATTTAAAGACTAATTATTGGTTTGTAAACCACTGGACCGGACCTACTTTGATAATATTTGTATTTAATAATTATATTTTTTGTTTTCAGCTGTAAATTGTGGGTGAAATATTATATTCCTTCCCAAGAGCAGTATACTACTTTAGCTTTCCAGACAAAGCTACATAATGAGCCAAGAATGCTGTGTGAAAAACATTTTCATTATGGTTAATTTAATGATGCTGAATGATGATGAAGAAAAAGATCTTAAGAACTGCAGTCCCATGTGATGTAAGTAAAATGTATAATTTATATAGTAATATATGTAGTTTTTTTTAAGGATTACACAGATATATTATATGGGGATTCCTTTATTCAGTAGTGGACTTTGATAGACTGTAATGAAGATGATGATGATTATTCAGATTACCGTCATCTGGATCTAACATGGATGGACAGAACACATACAGTAGTTTTAATCCTGTTAATGCTTTCAACCAATTTATAATAATTGGATAGGACAAGGCATTCAAAGGATTGAAGTCTATAAAGTTAGCACAAATCCTTACTTACATTATTAAAAGAGCAACACACTGTGCATATTATTTTTAACAATCAAATATTTTTTTTAAAAACAACAAAAAAACCTCAAGAAAGTTCAGGCATCACATTCTATGAATAACCTCTCGTCAGTCCAAAACCTTCTAAAGGTTGCTGTCAAAATGTACACATCTGTCCACAACCATCAGAAGGTTGCTGTTTACTTATAAACTTCAGATTCGAAACAGCCCTAGTAAAAGTATACGTATCTCCCTATAACTGGTACAACATGCAGAGAATTAAACAAAGACGGCAATTAATATCACACACGCTTCATAAACGAACCATAGAACCTGTGAAATAGTAATACATTTATTCCGTTCAGTTGCTCGTTCTGTGACGCGGTGTCGTGTGTTTACGTGCAAAGTATTAATTGTTGAAAGTGATTTCGGAAGTTAATATTAAAGATAAACATGAATGGGTAAGTCATAAATACTTTTCTATTAATTTAAAACATATTAGATGACGATTTGTACATAAATTGTTCCATTTTATCAAACATTGCTTGCCATTTCGACCGCCATGTTGATACCATGTTCGTATTAATTTCCATTGTTTTAAATTAAAAGTACAATTGTGAATGGTAAACATTGTTTTAATATCGTTAACATACTTATTTACAAACATAACAATAATTACAATTGTATAGTTTCGATTGAATATTTCATAAAACTAAAAATAACAAATTGCTTAAATCTCGCGTCCACCTGGCGATCGTGGACAGACATGGGTCGTAAAGTTATTTACACGAAATCCGCCATCTTCGAGAGCAGGTTGTACAGTATGGATAGGATTATGGGAATGCCAGTGTTGGTATATTTTTACGATAATTTTTGGTGTGGATTTTTATTTGTTTTTCTTATTTGTTTTGTTTTATTTTTTTTGTCAGTAAATTGTTTTACTTTTTGTATGTGCATGTCATTATATTTTATTGCACTTGATTTATAAGTGAAACACTCTTTGTTTTCACTCTTAGCCCAAGGTTATCTGGAAGAGATTGCTTTTTGTACGTAGTAGTTTTTATTGCTAAGCAATAAGCCTTAGCTCGTTACGGTGCTATAGTTGAAATAGCCTCAAAGTACGAAACGGTCACCCATCCAGTTGCAAGCTAACGCGTGCATTGCTTAACCTTTGTTATAGATCTCGCACGCAAGCTATCACTAGGCTAGGGTTACTTCAAATTAAGTAAAATTAAAAAAAAAATCAAAATAACAAAAATATAAACCCTTATTTTGGCAAAAAACAATTGTCAAACATTTTTTATAATATTCAAATGTTAATTAAAAATATAAAAAAGCAAAGAAAAATAACTAATTTGTATTTAATTTTAATTTTATGTTCATGATTACAATTATTAAAGAAGTCACCACAGAGCGTATCCATACTAGCATAGCTGGGTACTACGTCACACTTGGTGCTTTTTGTAGTGAATGTGTAACTTTTAGTTGATGATTTCTAACATAATTTTGTATGAAAGATGCCTTCTTTGTTTTGTTTTTAACTTAGGAAATGTTATTAAATTTAGGAATATACATTCACATGTAAATAAATTACAAAATCGTTCGTTACAAATGCAAAAGTTTGAAAGCATTTTTTAGGGTCACTTTTTCAAGTGTTGGTTGCAACTCGTTCATTTCTTAATAACTAAATAGTTGTAACATTTGAAACTGTTTATATTAAGAACAAAGACCAAACTATTGAATAAGTTAAGATTTAAAGCCCATTGTGCCTCAGGCGTCGTCGATATTGAAGTACAAAATGTGCCTTTTTTTGTGCCTGTTTCGGGTCATCTTAAGTGGCCCACATTATTGTCGAGCTTGTGGTGTGAAAAAACTGTATGTAGAGTTGTGTTTTTTTTTTCATTATTGTAAAGTGTGTTATAGTATAGTAAATAAAGTAAATATTTATTGAAATAATTGCTTAATTTTTCAATGATTACATTTTATATTCAACAAACTGGAAAAAAATCGCTTCTATCAATTTTACCATCGAATTTATAACATACCAAAAAGGTGAACGTGCACATTTACACATATTCTATTAGCTTATTTAACAATAATTCTAACAACATATCATATTATATAGTTCCCGTACATAAGTATTAAGATATTGCCATTTTAATGACACGCGCCACGTAGGCAATATATCACTCGTTTAGGGTTTGACAGATGCGCCAAAGCGGCTAATTTGGCCCGGACTGCTGAGAGGATAATTATATTTCGTCCTAAACCTATCAAATTTAAAGGCACAACTTGTACAACACAGTAGAAATACATGTATCAAATGATTCTCAAACAATAGATAAACACAAGACTTCTCTTTTTTTACATAGTTATTGTATTTACTATCTTATTTTGTTATATTAGGTGTAATAGTAGGTGTATTATAGAGCAAGTTGGATGAACAAGATCTATTCATTTATTTTGTATTGGAAGAAGGGTAATGTAGTGCAATGAGTAGGGACTGGTTTATTATGGAAGTAATGTCAATGAATATAATGTTAATTTAATTTTATATAATATGTTTGTTATACTATAATTTATTTCAGTTTTATTTATTTCCAGACTGACAAAGTGTATTTCCATTTTATTTTGTGGAATCGCTATCTGGTCCCTCGCAAATTATTGCTGCAAAACGACAAGCAGGATCTTCAAAAGGACAACATTAAGAGGACAACATTATATCCACTGAAGAATAACCATAAACATCAAAGCATATCAGATATTGTTGCACTTGAAAAAGAAAGTACTCTATATGAAAAATTTTAAAATTATGTTTTATAATTTTGAATTAAAATTATTTTATTTATAAGCTGCATTTAATACCTAATATATTATTATACATCGCACATAATATAGAAACAAAATTTTTAGTGTCAATTCAGGGAAATATATAGACAACCAAATATAATCAAAACAAAATTATTATTTGTGGATGTTGCACTTTGCACTTGTGTGTAGGCTTATTTATTAAATAACTTGTTTTTGATTAAATATTGATGTTTTGGTTACTATAGACATTCTGTGATTTGTGATTGTGCATATTATCAATTAGTCCATGATTGTAAATCTTATATATTATGTTTGTCATTGTTTACATAAGTAATTGAAATATTGTAATCAATATTGATTTTCTTTTCATGTTTAAACTCATTAAATGTCTTTATAGAAAGAACTAAGTTGCTGGAGAAATTTTGTCTTAAGTTATGTATGTTTTTTAATTTTAATTTGTATTTTAATTTTGAATAAATAAATAGAAATTTTGTAATTTTTGTTCTTTTATTTAGCGCTGATATAGGCAACCAAAAAATACCTCAAATAAAAAAACCAAAAAAGACCACGTTCAAATTTTCCCGCCACACGAGAAGTGCTAGTGGGTATATATCGCATTTCTTAAATTTTGTGTGAAGTTGTCGTTCTTCTCCGATAGGAGTAATAGTGTTCTGTGTGTGTCATTCATTCGTTTCTAGAGACCCGATCATATATATTGATAAGAATTGATTCGTCCGACTCCGAATTCTTTGAGACCCGCTCGATAATGATAATATTAAGTATATCAGTCAACTTAAATAATATGTTTTTATATGCCGCTAATACCTATTTTATTGTTAGTTGAGTATGTTTGCATAAGATAAATTTAGACAGTAAGTAAATATTACTTGCTCCCCATCCTCGATTATGCTGACATAAGCTATCTAGACATTACCGAAGAGCAACTTAACAAACTTGAGCGACTCCAAAATCTATGTATAAGGTTCATATTTGGACTTCGTAAATATGACCATGTATCAGAATACCGCACTAAGCTCAAGTGGCTTCCAATCCGTCTGCGTCGGAATACTCATATCCTTTCTGCTCTCTAATGCGTTTTATTTAGGCCTGCATTCCTCTATCGCTGACGTCGGTCACGCGTACGAATATTCGTTGTGTTCTATATGGCACCACACTGTGACGCTGACATCAGCGGCGCGCGAGTTGCTACGCGCCGCGTACGGCAGGCGTCGGTCTCGCTCGTCAGCGCCGCGTACGTCGGTCGACTGACGCGCTATAGAACTACGAGCGTCCTCACTCTTTTCCCGAACGTCGGCTAAATGGTACGCGCGCGCATATAGTCGCCATGAATATTGATACCGAACGTGTGATTGCCGAGGTGCGCCTAAGTCCTGCATTGTGGGATTTATCTAATGAACTTTACAAAGATCGCGATGCCAGAGCAAAATTTTGGTTACAAGTTTTTGAAGCAGGAGGCCGGGGCTACAATTAACAGAGGTAAGTATTAACAAGCGAATATCTGTAAAACTATAAATGCTAAAGCGATAGCATTTGTTTTAAAACGTCGTGTGGATCATGCCACATGATTCGGGACTAGTCAATTGTGTCCCGTGCGTCGTGCGACTGAGTTGTGTAACAGACCACTCTATTACGCAGGTAAAGAATATTTTTATTTTGCAATTTTTTGATTTATGCTCAAAATTATACGACATTATGATTTGGTTTTTTGTTTTCCTAGAAGTATATTTCGTAGTTAATAATGCTCTGTAGCTCAATTAATTAATTTTTCAACAAACATTTTTTATGTTATTAAAAATTAAAAATGTACCTTCGGGGATAAAATTAACAAATCGACGGGGCTAGTATTAACATGTTTATACTTACCCCATATGTGGTGGCAATTATTAACAAGGTACCCGACTGAGTATGATTATTTTATGTTATTTTTTTGTTAAATTTTATTACAGCATGAGAACGTATAAACGAAAAACTACTCGAGGAACCAAATCCTTAGAAGTTTACGAATTGGCTGCGAGAGAAGTGATAGAGAAAAACAGAAATTACAGAGATGTAGCCAAAGAATTTGATCTCTGTCACGTTTCACTCTTCAACTTTGTAAAAAAAAAGAAAGCGGGTGCACTAGCAACAGTGGGTTACAAGAAAACCCGTTTAGTTTTTAGTGCCGAACAAGAAGCAATTATAGCAGAGTATTTGTTAAAGTGTGCTAATATTTATTTCGGGTTACTACCTGAAGATGTCAAACGATTATCATATCAATGTGCTAAATTTTACAATGTTGAGAACGTACCAGAATCTTGGCGAGTTAATGAGATGAGGTAATGATTGGTTCACTAATTTTATGAAGAGAAATCCCAGTTTGGCGATACGAAGCCCTGAAGCCACCAGTTTAAGCAGAGCTACTTCATTCAATAGAACCAATGTGCGTAACTTTTTTGAAAAATACAGAAACGTGCTAGAGAAATACAGCTTCCAACCATCCCGGATTTGGAATGTAGATGAAACAGGTACCTGTCTTCTTATTTTCATTTCAATTTTATATTGTCAATTTTTATTTCAGAGTGTACAGTTTTAAAATCTTTGCACTCTGCCAGGTATCACCACCGTTCAAAAGCCGAAGAAGATTGTTGCTGGAAAAGGCGTCAAGCAGGTCGGTGCTGTAACATCAGCTGAAAGAGGTGTACTAGTTACACTGACAGTTGCGACAAATGCTATCGGCAATGCCATACCCTGTATGTTTGTCTTTCCTCCACCAGAATGCATAGGGGTTGGAAACCAATCGGGCTGGATGACTCAAAAAGAGTTTGTAAAATTTATTGATCATTTTATTCATCATGTAAAGCCGTCAAAAGAAGATTCTGTCTTACTCTTGCTAGACAACCACAGTTCACATGTAAATGCGGAAGTAGTTAACAAGGCCAAGAACAACAACATTGTTTTGTTGTCATTTCCACCACATTGTTCCCATCACTTACAGCCTCTCGATGTTGGAGTCTATGGTCCACTGAAAAATTATATGAATAAAGCACAAACTTCTTGGATGAATAGTAACCCTGGAAAAACAATGACCATTTATGATCTTCCTAGTATTGTTTAGGAAGCCCTACCGTTGGAATTAAATCCTACGAATGTTATCAACGCATTCAAAAAATCTGGAGATTTGCCATGTAACGAAGATATCTTTCAAGAATCTGATTTTGCGCCATCTTTTGTAACGGATCGTCCAGATCCCAGCAATCAAAATCAGTCACTTATTTCTAAACCACCTGTTGAGAATGAGGTTAATGATGATGATCTGTCATTAAATTTAGAAAATCCTGAAATTTTAAACGATATGCCTTATTTAGATATAAGCGTAACTGAAGTAATTGAGCACATGTCTAATGAGCCAATAGCTGGATCATCGGGCATACAGAAAGATGTTAATGATTTTTTGGTTGAAACTGTAAGACCTCTACCAAAAGCTCCACCACGAGTACCATCTAATCGTAAACGAGCCAGAAAATCTGCTATTCTCACCGATACACCAGAAAAAATTGCTTTAGAAGAAAAACATCATATTGAAGAACTGAAAAAAAGGAAAAAGACAGAAAAGAACCGGAATAAAGAGAACAAAAAAAATAAAAAAGGGTCAAGGCAAAGGTAAACGCAAGGTAGAGGGAGATAGAAAAATAAGCAAAGACGAAAAAATTCAGGAGGTGAAGAAAAAAATATTAATAGAAACCAGTGATTCTGATGAAGATAAATATTTTTGTATTATTTGCGGTATCTCATATAATGAAGATCAATCAGGTGGTGATTGGATACAATGTATCTCTTGTAAAGACTGGGCCCAAGCTGGCTGCATCAAAGGTGATGTCACATCATTCATTTGCCTAAATTGCAATTCGGATGATGATGAGTACGAATAGATATGTTTTGTGATGCTTAATATAGTTTCTAATCGTTGACATTCTGTTTATGTTTGTTGGTGGCATAAAAAAACTACATTTTATCCATGTTGTATAAGCTTAAGGTAAATACTCGTACTTATTACGAAGACTGATTCGCTAGATGTTAAGGTAAAAATGTGTTATTTTCTACCTCATCTATGATGACTTATAAGCTGTGTGCCAAATTGTTTCATTTTTAGCATAAAAGTCATTAATCTTAAGAAAAACTGATTAAAACAACCTTGATTATTCATAATAATTTAGCAAATTGTTAGTTTTTTTCATGTTTAGATTTTTCGTAATATAATGTCAATTGATATAAGAAAATGTTCATACACGTATGTAATAGTTGGACTTTTATTAATAAAAGGTAATTTCACATATATATTTGTTTTTCTTTGATATTAGTTTTTATAACATAACGTTAATAATTACCCCAGAGCTGTTAATTCTAGCCCAGAAGACGGGGTAAGAATTAACCAACGAATTTTTTGAGAAAAAAAAATCTACAATAGACATCACTTATAATAAGTTTGAGTTATGGTAATATCCTGATACCTAAATAGTTAAAGCATCATTTGACGTAAAAATCACATTTAAATGTTGAATGATTTCGGAGTTATAACAAAAAATGCAATTTTTGTTAATTGTAGCCCCGGTCTCCCCCACTGTTTCCGGATTACTGAGGATACCGGAATAATGAGGGCGACGATAAAAAAAAGGAGATCGGTAAGTAAAAGATAATGTGTTTATAATAATTTTATCAGATATACATGTGGAATGTGGGTGGGGTAGCGGGAAGGGAAACATAATTTTTGTCTTATTCTACCCCGCTTCCGCACGCGACTGTCCTGCGAAATGTAACGGCCCGTTCACGACTTCGGTCTTAGCGGCGCGCCTTCTGCCTTTTAAAACTAAACTTCTGCTAATCCAGACTTTGATATTACCCATTATTGATTACGCGGATGTGTCAGATCTATCTCAATATCTTCTCGATAAGTTGGAGCGTCTTCTCAACAATTGCATTAGATTCATTTTCGACTTACGTAAGTATGACCATATTTCCCAGTACCGACCTAAGCTTAAATGGCTATCTATTCGTCAAAGGCGTAGCTCCCGAACTTTGCAAGTACTACATTCAATTTTAAATGACCCCAATTCTCCCTCTTATCTTAAGGATAACTTTCAATATTTGTATTCTATTAACGATAGAGTTCCCCGTTCCCAAAATTGTCTTAAAATTCGTATTCCACCACATAGGAGTGGTTTCTATAAGTCCTCTTTTACTGTGCAGTCTATACTGCTCTGGAATGCCTTGCCTGTTTATATCAATAAAACTAATAACAAGAATTATTTTAAGAGACTAGTTCGAGAATTCTGTCGTAAGAATAATACCACCTGACTATCCGACTATTGTTTTTGTGTTTTTTTTCTCTTTCACTTTATAAGTAATATTTCATATAATGTATTTTAATATGTATTGTGTTATTTTATTTTTGTCTCATAATATTTTATTTACTTATAGTTTTGTATAGAAGTACCCATTTATATATTTATTATTTATCTTATATTATATATTAAGTAAGTATGTATATTTTACTAACTATATATTTATTCTATTCATTTGCATTTTATTTTGTTTTATATCATTATTATTTATTTATGAAGTGATTGATTACACCTGCCACAGTTTCTCAAATCATCCAGGGTTGACTGGCAGAGAATGCCATAAGGCATTAAGTCCGCCCTTTATATCCCTTAGTATATAAGGTGTATAATGAAGATTAAATAAATAAAAAATAAATAAATATACGTTGCAAAAATGTCTTAAAAATACTCCCTCAGGATCAGGAGGAAGTAAAAAAAAGGTGTACATATATTTTGAAGATATGAAATTTCTTGATAAAAAACACCAAGCTGAAGTTGAGGATCGAAAGTAATCAGGCTACACCGAGCGCAATTAATCAGGATATCCCAAGCATATCTAATCAAGACGTGCCAAGTACGTCCAGTCAGGACATACCAAGGAGCACAGCACTTAAAGTAAATACAGAATTACAGAAAAGTGTTGCTCAAGAAAATTCTACAAACTCTGATTTTCGTAATAAACGACAGTGATGAATTCGATAAAGAGATGCTAATGATGTTCAAAGATAATGCCAAACTATTTAAAAATGATGAATTTTAATGTCTCTCCTGCCAATAACAGAAAAGTTTACAACGCATCAAAAATTGATTTTCCGTACAGAAATGCTCAAAAAAGCAATGGAAATTAGTAATATGCAAAATCCATATGAAATAACCAGTAGACTGAATTCTTCAGATTCGTATTTTTCTCAACAGTCTGAATCGATTTTACACAGTCAAGATCCGATCAACGTAGATGAATATGAAACTTTCCCCGATATATCAAATACCATTTCACAAGAATGTGTGATGTACCAAGTACGTCCTACTACTTCTTATACATCAAACTCCGGATCCCAAATTATTTCTCAAGGATACTAAACCATCCATGGCATTACTAGGAAAGCCAACGAAGACAAGTAAAATGTGTCCTTCAACAAAATAAATAAATACTTATTCGTTTTTACAAAAAATAATAAAAAGCTTATATAAAAATGTATTGTTTTCTTTCTTATTAATATGTTCCAATAATAGATTGATATTATATAACTCACCGCAATGTAACAGCAAGTCGTTCCACTGGAGGTATAATTTCTCGATATATGGAGCAGTGTTTTAGGTGATTTGCTAACTTTGATAACAGTTCGTCAAAAGTTTTTACTTTCATTCTAAAATAATTAAAGAACTTTTCCTCGTCCTGACGTAGCTTTTCAAATAATGTAGAAAACTCACCATTCGTCACCCTATCAGTAACAATTGGGTGAATGTGATATCTTTTTCTACATTGACGACGTCTCCGCTTGCGTAAGTATGCTGCAGCAACTAAACAATTTATAAACGGATTCATAATTATCCCAAATCCATTTGGAGACGCCTGTACCGTGGAGCGGTCGGTATCGCACTACGGATGTTTTCATTGGCGCTAATGGTCAGCGCGCTATGCGACTGACGGTACGCGACCGACGTCAGCGACAGAGGAATTCAGGCCTTAATATATCAAGTCCTCCCTACCTTAAAGAACGTTTCCAATTTCTTAGCTCCTCTCATAAACTTTCCCTTCGGTCCTTAGAAAACCTTTACCTTCTATGTCCCTTGCACTCTTCTACATGTTACAGTAAATCTTTTTTAGTTCTTGGAGTGAAGCTTTGGAAATCCTTATCATCAACTATAAAACGTGCTCAAACAATAGACTCCTTTAAAAACCAAGTTAAAAACATCGATCACTAATAAAGAACTAGATACACAATCCCATACAAAAGTTCTCTAAAAGCTGTCGCCAATTGTTGTGACGTAATTCTAGTTGAAATAAATATACATTTATGTAAATTCAACCTTAAATACATTGCCTATAGTTGTATTAACAAAGATATGTACAAAAAGCAATAAATTTTTATGACCGAGGCTCGTAGCTTGAGCAAGGAATCATTGGAGTCGAACCGCCCAATATTTTTTGTTACTGTTATTTTAATTTTAAAATGTTTCAAACTTGCTTTAAAAACTGGTGTACATAAAGCATATTCCATTCTATAATGATTATAATTTACCTGAATGTAAATACGTTTTTGGATAGGACACCACATTCATTTAGTAACGAAAGTACTTGAAACAATCATAATTATTTATTTATTCTTCATCTTATTTCAATAATTAAAAAAAATATTGCTTGACAAAGAACTTAAATCTTAATTCAATAGTTACTAAATATAAAAAGTATGTACAGAAAGTTGTAAGTCGTAGTCACATATTCATCACTTTCTAAAACATGCTTCGAACATACAATGCTTCCTTGGGTCGGCTTTAAGAATTCTTCGGACCTTTGACATGCTATGACTGATATCCATTCTGCACACCTAAATGAGTCTCGAGGAAAGCTTAAAATTAAAAATAAAATCCCACATCTTTAGTTTTGATACATGCACATATTCAAAATTAAGTCTATAAAATGTTCTATAATATTTAGAGAAACTATAGAAGTCTCATTAAACGAAAAAAAGACAATCATACTTTAATATTAAAAAAATAATAGCGCACCAACAAATGGAACAGAGTCAACGCGCATACCTCGAACAATTATGACTTATTTTATTATGACTTAATTTAAAAAAGGTTTTACGGAGATTTCGTGACAAAACATAAGTATTTACAATACAATGATAAGAATTAAACAATGATAATATTAATACGTACCGAAATTAGGAAATTCTATCCTTTTTTAGCGTCCTGGATGTGTGATTTTTACACTTTTTAAACGAGCACTGAGGCATGTTTACCGTCGGAGCGTTCGAATGTAACTAGATTAAAAGCGCACCCAAATGTTCGAATGGGTGCTCATTCGGTGAGGTCGTTTTTGTCAATGATTGTGTATCTAGTTTTTATTAGTGATCGATGGTTAAAAATCATTATCTTTCCTTCTAAATCATCCCTCCTCCTTTTATGCATTCCTGTCGTTTTATGATCACAAGTCTGTCAATTAAGTAAATTCCAGCATGGTTATTAATTTACTTTTATATTTATAGATTATAATATTATTTATAGTGCACTCTACCCATTACTTAACTTTTTACTTATTTTTATTTCCTATTTAGGT